ATCAAGTAATTCCACGCACTTGTGCTTATGTTTACTTAACTTCCTCTAAGTAGGTACTATTTGATTTTGAGATACTACACCACAGCTCCCGGACCCGATGTTTACAGAAATAGTAAAGTTACTACCCCTTATATTGCGGCGTAAAAGTGATGATTCTTTTTATCCGTGTGCTTGTGTGGCTATTAAACCGCCACAAGAGGCGGTGTGATCTTCACAAAATCAAATATCTGCCCATGATTGAAAGGAACTCAGTCGAACTTCTTTGTGATAAAAATAGTTTTGTGGGCGTGTGTCATTACATACCACGTGACACGTTTCCGTCCCCGAGAACAACTGAGATGTGTTGCTTCAGTTACATGTTATCTGTAAATGTCGAGATGTGTTGCTTCAGTTACATGTTATCAGTAAATGTCGAGATGAGTTGCTTCAGTTACATGTTATCAGTAAATGTCGAGATGTTTTGCTTCAGTTACATGTTATCAGTGAATGTCGAGATGTGTTGCTTCAGTTACATGTCATCAGTAAATGTCGAGATGTGTTGCTTCAGTTACATGTTATCAGTAAATGTCGAGATGTTTTGCTTCAGTTACATGTTATCAGTAAATGTGGAGATGAGTTGCTTCAGTTACATGTTATCAGTAAATGTCGAGATGTTTTGCTTCAGTTACATGTTATCAGTAAATGTGGAGATGAGTTGCTTCAGTTACATGTTATCAGTAAATGTCGAGATGTGTTGCTTCAGTTACATGTTATCAGTAAATGTCGAGATGTGTTGCTCTAGTTACATGTTATCAGTGAATGTCGAGATTAGTTGCTTCAGTTACATGTTATCAGTAAATGTCGAGATGTGTTGCTCTAGTTACATGTTATCAGGAAATGTGGAGATGAGTTGCTTCAGTTACATGTTATCAGTAAATATCGAGATGTGTTGCTCTAGTTACATGTTATCAGTAAATATCGAGATGTGTTGCTCTAGTTACATGTTATCAGTAAATGTCGAGATGTGTTGCTTCAGTTACATGTCATCAGTAAATTTCGAGATGTGTTGCTTACTTCAGTGAAGACCACCTCCGTTGTCTAATGGTAGAGCGTCCGCCCGGACAGCGAAAGGTCCGGAGTTCGATCCCCGGCCGCGTCATACAAAATACGTTAAAAGATGGTACTTTTTACCCTGTCTGGCGCTCGGCTTTAAGGGGCTAAAACAAGGACTGGTCGGCTCGGAGTCAGTATACTGTGTCTGAGTGGGGTATTCATGTTAAACTGCGGCATGGAATCTCAGTGTGCTAGCACTATAAATCGGCATTAGTCCGGACTAAAACAAGCAGACACACACACACACATGCATGCACGTCCCCAAAAGAGCAATAATCTTGGACGCGACATTAAACCCCATTTCACCTCACCTCACCTACTTATCTGTAAATGTCGAGGTACTTTACACATATTTCTATGAGTTTATGATACCAATAAGCGTCGAGATACGTTACACTTACTGCAGTGAAATTATCCTATCAAAGTAGAATTATGTCATATAAACGTATGGTTTATCCAACTTGTTAACGCTTATATTTCCTTTCGAAATAGCAGCGCGTATCAAATCATTTTGTTGTACATGGTTACATATCATACAAACACTATAAATGTCATACAAACACTATGCCAGATTAGCGACTCTGCTTGTAAGAGGCGACTAACGGAATCGGGTGGTCAGGCTCGCTGACTTCGTTGAAGCATGTCACCGTATCCGAACTGCGTGGATCGATGGTCATGATATCAATCACTGGACTGTCTGGGCCATACTCGGTTATTTACATACTGCTGTCATATAGCTTGAACATTGCTGAGTGTGGCGTTAAACAACAAACAAACACACAAAATTAAATACGTACCGTTAACATAATAGTTCAGACAATAAAGTTTGGGGAAATGTCACTTCTGCAATATTAAATTAATTATGGTGTAGCAGTATTCAAGTGCCTTCACTGCTGACGTGTAGATACATATACGGAAGGTGAAGGCCGCTCCGTGTCTGGGCAAGGGCGGGGCTGTAGTGCAGTTTTGGCGCCAGTCACAGATTGGGTGAGGCCCTCTCTTCAAACATATGCCGTCGTTCGGAGGTAAGGCAGCACGTTCACACCGCCAGCCCCTCACGCATCGTTTTGTTCCTTGTCCCCGACTCAGCTTACAAAATACACTAATCAGGTTAGATTTTGTTTTCCTCGGTCCTTGTGAGAACTCATGAGCCAAGCGTTAGCCTTGCTCGGACAGTAACAGCAAGATGTCACCATCATAAAAAAATCAAACGTACCCGTTTGACTTTGGACTGATGGTTGAATGGCGACCCCAGGTTCACGTACCTTGCCTTAGGTAATGTGGGGGTGGGTAGGGTAAGAACAACGAGTTCATCTTTGTACCGCCATGTCAATTCCGTCAGAACGAGGCTCAGGGTCACGTCACCAAGGGAGATAACTCTAATTTTCACGCAATAAAAACAAGAGCTCCCACCAAGACTATCCGATGTCATCGCATGTGCAAAATGTTCTTGTCATTTATGTGATAAATATACATTTTTCACAATATTTTTCATTGATTGATAAAAACCTTCGTATGTATATACAGTATCAATGTTAAAACCTTATTGATAATATTTTTTATCACGTTTCATCTAATCAATATGGATATAGCTTATCAAACGACGATGCAATTTTTCCCCTGGGGTGAAAAATCTAAATTAATCATACACGATCTTGTGTAAATAACGAACGTAAGAAATCACTCGTAAGGTTACCAGCAAAATCAATGCCGTTTTATTCACCGTCGTCAGTGTTTAATGTAGTTTGCGCTTAAGAAAAACACATCCTTACAACAACACCACGCTTAACATGGCGATGACAAAGGATTGGTGATATATTTTTCCGGCGAGCAAAGCAAACTTCTGAAGTTCTACTACAGGTCATGACGTTCCCTAAGGCACTGACAAAATTCGATTAACACACAAATTAAAAGCGCCAATAAATTAAAGAAAAATAGCATGGTGTAACGGAGACTTTGTTCAAGCCTATGTCAATGGATGCAATCGCCTTACAGGTATTTTCGTTTAAGACAGGGTGATGAAACGGAAAATTCTGTTACCTTATTTCAATATTTTGACACAAATTTCAAGTGTTCACGTAGTGTAGGTCTAGGAATGGCCGCAGCTTTATCACCAGGCTTGCCAACGTCGATGGTGCAAACAACTCTCTGGTTATAGATTTTACGCTAAATAGGCGGGACAAAATGTTATAAGGTTTTCCTCTCGTTTGAAACATATTTTTTCAAACTGAATTAGTAAAGGTTGTTCCTGTACACTAAAATCCCATTATAACGGAACCCTCCTGTCCAGAAAGGATTACTGTTCGGAACTGTAATAATACAAATAATAATAATAAAAATAATAATAATGATGATGATGATGATGATGATGATGATGATGATGATGATGATGATGGGGGTGGTTGTGGTGGTGGTGGTGGTGAAATCATTTATATTATTGAACTTGCTGTCCCTTTTGACACTAATGTGATTGACAAGACATGGCAAATGTGCGGACCTCGCTTTCGAAATGTCACGCTTGCATCCCGGGTACCAAGTTGTTCGACTCCCCATTGTTCTCGGTGCCTTAGGTTTGGTACCTCCCAATCTGTTGACTGACATTGGGAGAGTACCCGGGTTTGCTACCAGGAATACAGCCTGACAATCTGGGTAATGCAGAAAGCTGCAGTGTTGGGGAGTCTTCACATTCTCCAAAACATTCTGGGTGGGTTTGACAAGGCAGCGCTTCCTGGGAGAAGTCCCCTTCGCTGTCAGGGCTGCGTGTAGAGGGGGCAAGGGCCCTGAGCTGATGATGAACCTAACCAGCCTGACTGTGCCAGGATAACCCAAACCCTCTTTCCTGCATTTTTTATTTTAATCTGTAAATAATAATAATAATAACTAAATAATAATAATAATCATCATCATCATCATCATCATCGCCAAGCGCTGATCTCCATGCACTATAAATTACTCGAAGTACTGATATGAAACCTCACAACAGACTGTCTAGTCAACTTACTCTGTCTCTGCAGGTAATATGTCAGTAACACGCGGTTGTTTTAAGCATTACGAGAGGCCTGCCACGCTGTGGATACACCTGACAATTCAAGGGACCTATATTCTATATTTAACTATAAATATCCCAGACTTTAAAACGTGATTTTTTTCTGTTGCAGAATTTCTGCACTTTTCGATTGTTAATGTTCATATGTTTATTTTCAACTTTAAGTGGCAGGTCAACAAATGCTAATACAGTGGTATGTGCAAGCTTTATTAAGTGCAGTGCCAGATATTCAATCATAAAGTCCTACATCTGTCACACGACGTGTAAATACTAGGGGGCGACAATTTGTTAGTGAGTGAGTGAGTATGGTTTTACGCCGCCTTTAGCAATATTCCAGCAATATCACGGCAGGGGTCACCAAAATGGGCTTCACACATTGTACCAAGGTCGGGAATCAAACCCGGGTCTTCGGCGTGACGATCGAACGCTTGTGTGATATACGTGCTGAAAAAACTAATTTCCCTGAGATTTTATTTTATACACATATAAATAACACAATAACTGTATTATTTGACCGTTAGGTACGAGGTGGGATGGGGAGAGAGGGAAAGAGAGAGAGAGAGAGAGATAGAGAGAGAGAGAGAGAGAGAGAGAGAGAGAGAGAGAGAGAGAGAGAGAGAGAGAGAGAGAGAGAGAGAGAGAGAGAGGGGTGGGTGGGGGTGGGGGTGGGGGGGAGTTTAATAACTACCCACCCCCACCCCTTCCCCAACCCCACCCGATAAGTGTAGAACGTCAAAAAGGCACCACTGACTCAATAACGCACATTAATTCAGTTATTACCACACAATAACCACATCACTGAGCCAGACAGAGACGATAAAAAATACTGCTCACATATGACTAATGTTTGTTTCTGTTTCAGATGGAAACGGCGATGACGTCATGTCGACACCGCACTCAAACACAGCCCCTCTGGTGCTCGTCCTTGAGTTACTCTTATAACGAGGTCGCCGTACAGCGAGGGAACCATAAGGTAATTAAGAGGGAGAAAACAATAATGACAGTGTGCGATATTGGAGGTGTGAGCCTGATTGCAGACTCATATGTCTGCCGATATTGGCAAACTGGGCCTTATAATGAGTTATGGACGGTGATAATAGAGGAGTGACACATGTTGGGACGGGCGAGATTGATATGTTCACTCGCAGAAATACTAGACTGATGCCAGGCGCTTGTACAGGTTATAGCAGCACCACGGATTGTATAGTTAAAGGCAAATTCCGTGTTGAATGTTTTTGCTTTTTGACGAATATTTCCTCGAACTGATCAATGTGTTTTTAGTTCTTATTCACAGCTCACTCTTGTATAGTGTGCACAGGCGCCTAACTAAAGATCCTCACAAGCAATTGTAACGAACGAAAATTAAAAACCTTAAACATGTAGACTGGTCCCTTGCTGTACGTGCATTGCGTCACTTTTATTTATCGTGAACATAGACGGTCTCTTGTATTCAATTTTAGCCGACATCTGTTTTGAATTACCTCCTTTTGAGCAACTAAAATAGGTTAACAGCTAATCTTTCAGATTTACCCTATATAGTAGAGTGTCCTGGATAGACTATCTTATGTTTATTGTTTATTTTTTATTATTTTGTTGTTTTTTTACGTAATCTATAACCATTTCGATTTAAAAAGCTCTAAAATCAATCAGCTTCACGCGTGGGATAAACAGATCTTAATTTGTTCTTTTTATATAGTTCAGTAATCATCCTAAAATTATCTCAACGAGAGCATTTCTAACAGATGCTTTCTTCCGATAAATCTTAACAAATACGCTAGACTGTACACGAAGCGTCTAAACGCTCACAAAATGTCTTACGATCAAATTCATGGCCCCGTCAGTGAAAACAAACACCTTTTTCAAACAAATTGCAAGTTACCAAGCAGGAGAGTGATTGACGTGTAGTAGTTTATTCCTATATTATTGGTGTATATATCCAGTCAAAAGTTAATAACAAAATAAATCAAGTGGAACTTCGACAATATAGCAGGTATGTTCGGGGGCTAATAAAGTTTATGAAAATGTTTATTGGAAATGTAACCCCAGCAAGTTCAGCTAGCAGCCCCGGCCACTGTCGACTCAAACGTTCACGAGCGTACGTATAGAGAATATTAATTATGATGTTTCGCTGCTTGGCAATTAAAGTCGAATACGGTTCTGTGCTCATTGTAATTGAAATTTTAATTGGATATACATGGAGTGTGATCTATTCACTCAGAGGTGTCTGTGTGAGAGTTTTATTAGTGAACATTCTAAATATGTATTGTTGGAGTGGCGTTGATAAGTGTAAGGAGATCCTTCGTCTTACACGTACTCTCGTCAGCGCAGAATTATTAATTGGATAGAGTTATGAGTTATTGAGTTAATATTCATGAGTTTATGATGGTTTGAATTATGTCAGGCCTGTATGAATATGATATAATTTCATGTCATATTTATATATATCAATTTGATATTGTACAAAATGTAGGCTTATCATATAATGTATTGTGATAAGTGATATGATACAAAGGGAGGGAGAAAAGATAAGATGTCAATACGATATTTTTACAATATGAAAATCCATTTATAGTGTAAGTAATATTAGACATGGTTCGAAATTGATGCCATATCGTCAAAAACAAATTCTATGTGATATGTACACAACGTGGGATGATAGATGACATGTAATATGTTTTGGTGTAATATGATGTAATACTATTATCGTAAATTATGGATTATGTTATATTTTTATATATTAATCATATATAATGTGATAGAGCATACAAGATGGTACATTGCATTGTATCAGACTGGTAGAAAATGTCAGATTTAATATTTACATAAATCAATACGATATGCTAAAACATGCATATCAATATAATATGATTATATAAATAGTAAGATGTCATATTATGATTTATTATAATGATATAAGACGGCACATCATGTAAACCTAAATAGTGTGATATGGCAATGTTTAATGGCATGGGACGCCAAGTGATCTAGCATGTTGTAGCTTTAAATGGTTGGTGATTTAATACATAGCTGATTTTATCATGATATGTGTACACATAAAAAAAAATCAGATCAAATAAAGTAAAAACCTTTTGAAAGTTTACCTTATCTAAAAAATATGCATAAATGCAACAGGTACTTCCTAATCGATAAAGTATGACCTACTATGTGATAAGTATGATTGAATTCATAGGAACATTAACGACTAGGCAGACCTTTCCAGTCCATCTGACCCGTGTGCAGTTAGGCTATCAAGAGGAAAGTTCCACAATTTCCTCGTGCATGCCTCACCCCCAGATGCGAATTGACGTAACGGAATTGAGGAAATTATATTAACAATAATAACTGAGATTTGTTTGCCCATCAAACAAGACAGGTGCTTAATGGGTGATAACAGTTCCTTCATTGATGCACAGACCTCCAAGACTCGCATTTGACTCAATCTTTGCTCTCTTTGAGCAGTAATCCATCACCCTCTACCCCCAAGATAACATCCCCCACCCACAAGATAAGATCCCCCACCCACAGAAACCATACCATCCCGTCCGTGATCAAAGACACCGATTTTTCGATGTGTTTGATATATCACGCGCTATTCTTGATATTGACAACTTTTGAAATAGATTGTTTGTAAACATAGCTTAGCGCACGTGCTTGCTTCAAGCCGCTCTCGTGCAGTGGCGTATATAGATAACATTGAATCATATGTTTACAATCGGGCGGAATTTGCTGTGCCTTTTGATGTGTCACGTACATTACAGAGACCTGTTGTCCATTTCATACGGCTGATGAGAACGAATAGATAAATAGACACCCGCTTTATTGCTCCTTTCAGAGTGGGAGGTGTTGATTTCATGTCATTAGCGACAACAGTGACTGTCGGAGGATAAATCGTCGCACGAGTACGAAATAACAATAGTACCAATGCGTGTTAAAGTCAACGAAATGAATGCCTTTGTGAAGATGACATTATTCAAGCTACACGAGACGGTTTCCAACATTTGTTTCATACAGATTCATGACACATTTTACTGTTACTTTATTGACAAGAGTGGCAATAATACAGGATGTTTTTAAAGCGTTTCTGAAGGAACACAATGGACTAGGATGATATTACGTTAAATCAGACTGCTGTGATATAAAAGGCAGATACGGTAATAATACTATTAATAAGTGATATTAAATATGATATGTTAATTAGTATACTGATAGAGTGAGTTGGGTTTAACGCCGCTTTTAACAGTATTCCAGTTATATCACGGCGTGCCAGCTTAATGAGGGAGGAAAGCCCGAAGTGATGCAGGTCTCAGACGTTTACCACTTCGGTGAAACCCACGAGCACTGGTATGGTGCTGACAAACCTAGAAACATTATCGGGGCGAACCGGGATTCGAACCCACAATCACTGGTTTCTGGCGTGGAAATACTTTGGAAAAAATCCTGTTATGGTTATTATTATTTAAGTACACCAAACTATCCTAAAAAATGTATACTTAACCTTGTATTAAATTGGCTAGTTTATATAATATTGTGTTGACTCGCCTTTGCTTGTGTTTGTGACCGGTGGGGCAGGATACGCTCGTCTATTCGCGAACACCTGGTATCATCGCTATATGATAGGGATTCATGTACAAATGTTTATGATATAGTCGGAATATGATATAGCCGTACAATTGAGATTTCTTTTGTTTATTAAAGGGTTTTGTCGACTGTATTATATGTTGTAAAGGACCGAGTTCAATTATGAAATACACCATAGTTTCCTTGTTTATCTAACTATCCACAAGTGTAATATCAATCACATTATTGTTTTAGTTTGAGTAAGATTAAGAAAACAAGTTACATCTTGCTATGGATACTAAAAAGTTACATTGTCAGTCCCAACCATTCTCTGATCAGATTCGTTACTAAATCACATGACTACGGGTAATAAAAAAGTAATAAAATCTTGTCTATTTTCTCTCTAATCGATTCTATTTGACATAGGTTTCAGTTATGTTGGAGTATATTTCCAGACATTTTTTAATATATTTTCTGTCCATAATATACACAACATTGCTTGTGTTAATTTTAGTAAATTGCATATGCTATAACGTGTGTATTGTGTATTCTTTTGTTGTAAACACGTTAGCCTTAACACTTGATGTCGAGATTAAGCGAACAATAACACTGTGAATGTATCTGGTATCGGTATGTTATTACAGTTGAATTCAAATACATTTCACATAGTCTGAAATAGACATTGTTCCATAACAGTGTGCTGAATGTTGCGATACACAACTAATGCAACATGTGGGGCATAGAGGCACACGAGTCATTGTTGTTAAGAGTTATGTCCCTTGACAGACAGGATCCGCTGGTCGTGGGTTCGAATCCCAAATTTGATACGATTGTTATCTTTGGTGTGTTATCATTAATTGGATGAAAAAGATATATTATTATACTTGGTCTGTGACCTCTTTACACGTGCTTTTTTCACATGGTATGGGTCAACCATCTTGGTTAATTCAGGCATTCCCTCAAAGCGTTGCGGGGTGGTCGGGGAGCCTAGTGGTTAAAGCGTTGGCTCGTCACACCGAAAACCCGGGTTCGATTCCCGACATGGGTACAATGTGTGAAGCCCATTTCAGGTGTCCCCCGCCGTGATATTGCTGGAATTTTGATAAAAGCGACGTAAAACCAAACTCACCCACTCACTCCAAGCGTTTCCTTATCCCCGAACCGATGTTTATTAAATCGTGTTACATAAGCACGAAACCCATTTCACAACAATATACCAGTAGATCTAGATCGTTATGTCCGAAGTTCGCTTAATCCACAGTTCGGTAAATATGAAGTTCGTTACATCCGGATTTTGTTATTCCCATGTGCAATTACGTGATTTTCCAATCATTTGATTAGGGTGTTCGTTTTAACAGTCTTTTACTCCCGTGAACGGCAGGCTTTGCACACACATGAAAACAACATACATCTACA